TCTGCATTTAAATCGAAAATATGGATTTCATCGACGATTTTCCGTTAACGGGTTCGCCATTCCAAGTTTCTGACACGATTTTAATCCCTGTTTTCTAACACAAGGACTTTATTTCCTATGTTGATCATTTCGACAAATGTCAAATGACACTATAATGTCAGTAACAAGGCTACTGGGTGACTCTTAGCAGTTTCCGGATCGATGATGAATTTGCGAACCAAGTTTTCTTCATTGCAGGTAAAATGAGAAATATAGTCGACGGAAAAATTTTGTAACCAACTTGTATATTAGAAGGCGAATAATGATCTCGAACATAAACGCGCTCGCTTCGCTCGCACGTTAAAATATCTCGATCATTAATCGCCCTCATTAATACACTAGTTGGTTAATAGTTATTTATGAAGAAAACTTGGTTCGCGAATTCATCATTCATCCGCGGAAACTGCTAAGAATCACTCAGTAGCCTTGCTACTGACATTAGTGACATTTGACATCTGTCGAAATGATCAACATAGAAAATATAAGTTCCTTGTGTTAGAAAACGGGGATTAAAATCGTGTCAGATACTTGGGAAGGCGAACCCGTTGACAAAAAATCTTCGATGAAATCCATATTTTCGATTTAAATGCAGATTCCGTAAGTTATAGCATAAACAATGAATGCACGCGGTGTATGTTTGGTTGCCTATAACACACTGTGCATCAATAGACAAATCGTTCATTAATAGGGGTCATTAATGAACGATTTCATATACATTAAACTTAGTCGTTAATAAGAGGTCGACGGAAAAATGATGAAAGTGTTGATAAATACACAACATAGGAAATATTGGCACCTCCGTCATCAGTTCCTCATATATTCTATAATAATATGTCGTGTATTAATCATCAAACGAGATTTTATTATTTTATTTCCTTCTCCTTTGAGTTTGGCTGTCTATAAAAATGGGTTTCTCGAATTTTTCAAATTTCAATTCCTGTTTTATTTTTCATTGCAGCTAATTGCAAGCGTGTTTTGTAGTATTTTCTTTATATTTTTTGTACGAACTTACCATATTCTGACGAAAAAATCTCATTCCTCGACTCCAAATAATACACTCAGATACAACTTCATAATAGAATTAATCAGATCATAACTACAAAACTCGTCCGTCATATAGGATCCGCCATCTTCAATTTCCCAATTATGAAGAAAAAATCATGATCTCCGACCCCGAAAATCTTTAGATATCAATTTTGAATAGAATCAGATAATAATGTACAGAACTCATCCGCCATTTTGGACCCACCATTTTCAATTCATAAATTTTGGCGAGCTGGTCATAGTCTCCGACCCAAAAACCCCCAGATACCAATTTTGAATTACATCGGTTCATAATTACAAAACTCGTTCGCTATATTGGATCTGCCATCTAGAATTTCCTAAGTTTGATGGAAAAATGGTGATCTTCGACCTCAAAAACCTTCAGATATTAATGTTGAATAGAATCGAATCATATACTCACAAAACTTGGGCGCTATATTGGATCCGCCATCTTGAATTTCCCAACATTGACGAAAAAATCATACAAACTCGTGATAAACTTCATGAATACCAGGAAATAGTATATAAATGTTTAACGAGCACGAACTGAAGTTATTTTCCACGAGAATGAAGTTGAAGCAATGAAGCAAATCATACGATGTGAGGCTTTCGATCACCTAGCAATCACCGCCCCATCATATGTGATCATTGGCCTGACAATCATCACATAAATCCAGTGGATTTGTTTGGGCTCTAGGCCTCAAGAGTTCCCGCAAATCCTTCGACATGTCCAAAAGGATAATCTAGCTTTGTGAAGAACCTTTTCCAAGTGACCTGAATATTACATTTTCGTTGCAAATGGAATAAGCTCCCCATTTTAGGAAAGTGGGGTTACTTCATCCAGGTTCCATTTTCTGGTAAAGGGTACCTACTTTAACAGTTTTCCTAGGATTGGCAGACATCTGTCCCCTCTGGCACCAACTACTGTGAACATCATCCAATGTACCTTGGAAGATATTCAGAGACTACCCTTCCAGTCGTGTTCCTTGCTAGAATAACATATAATCGTCTGCATAAGAGTGCAGTTCCATTTCTCTTCGGTTGAGAACATTGAGCAAACTGTCCACCAGCAGTGACCACAGAAAGGGGAGAAAGAGGAGCGATCATCTTGAAGAGATGTAGAAGCTGTTCTATTTATGAACATGTCGAAGATACAACCAGTGTTGGTTCGGAAATGGGCCGATGATTCCCCTATGCTAAGTTACCATTATATAGTTGGAATTACTATATATGGCCTTGCGATGGTAATATGTCTGGAACTAATTGAACACTAACGTCACTAACGAGTGGTGCCCTTCTGTTCGACAATATCCTGCTCGTCCTTCTGGTGAATGTTCCTACATCAACAATCAGCTGATCATTTGGATCAGTATTAGATGTGACCCTCGTGATCGCGTATGTTTAGTTCGATTAGTTCGTTTCGTTTTTCTCTGGTTTCTTGTCGAATTCTTGTGTGGTCATTATTTATGATGAAAGAAGTACATATATTCTAAATAGATAATATATGGAAGACGGATTCCTCAATTATGATATCATTGGGTAAGTGTCAATCTACCTAACTAGTGTATCTCATATATCTCATATAATTAATGATATCATACTAATTGGAGTAGCGTCTACTAAGAAACATAAACTATCATGATTAACTCAAAAGCACTCTCAGGTTTTTTGAACCTGTCTTTTTGGGTTGCGTGCAAGATCTGTCAGATGATATCGATGATATCGATGAAATCGGTTACATCGATAACATCGATAACATCGATAACTATCGATGAAATCATCGATGATTTTCATTTATTTTCGAAATATTTGTTGATTGTTGATTGTAATCGCTCATTCCTGAAGTATTCGCGTTGACCTTCGCTCTCATTGGTTAATGATTATAAGCGACATATTATATTTATTTCGTCAGTATGAACATTCCTTCAGTATATAAAAATATCGATTTATCGATATATTAATTGGTATATCGATGATATCGATATTATCGATAATATTGATAATATACATAATGTTGATAATATCGATAATATCGATAACTTCGATGCTATTGACAAATTTCATAATATCGATAATATCGATGAACATTTTTCATCCCATCGAAGGAAGTCTGCACTCATAAATGCGCATTGTTGACATGACGTCACCAATTATAGTGATGAAATTTATGATGGAACTGATGATGTAATAGAAATACACACACATTTATGGAACATTTATGGAACATCTCTCAAGAATCTCAAGGATTCCTTGATATTTATTGTTTCTAATCAAATCAAAATAAAAAACAATTTGTCAGTATCGTTGTCAGTTGCGTCTACAGGCAGGAGGAAAAGAATTATCATCACGGTGGGGGAACGCTACAGCGCGGAACCTCGGGTACTGATCACTTGATGAAAATTGACGTTAAAGTCATCTTAACAGGGTACGGACAGATCCTCGTCTCCTCTCGCTCTGAAGTGTTTGTGAAACAGTTATATAGTTCCATCCTCATTCAATTCTGGGGATCAACATGGGATCAACACCATATACGTATTAATAAACAATACGGATCATAACGGGTGCCAGAATGAAGCCAAAAATATGAAACAAATGAATATCCATAAGGATTTGGTGGCATGATACGCATGCGCCATGCGCTATTATAGTAGTCATCAAACATGCGTTCCGGTGGACAATGACGTTTACTAGCCTTTCAATCAAAGCAGTATGTGTCTGATCGTTTCAAAACTTTTCCTTATAGATAGTCATTTGTCTTCAAAAATCGGCATCATGTTTCGCTATGGAAACAGATGGAGATTATTCGTATTGATTATTAATACGTATATGATCAACACTAGATTTTTGACATTCGTTGTGTTTTAGGTTATATTGAGGTCACTGGCGTATCATTCGTAATATCCATATGGAATTCCTGATTCAATTATACCAAGATACAATCCTCTAATTTTAGAGTTTACTACTCCAGCATAATCTTTGCGAGGTAGGAAACATATAAATTGTACTGAAAGCTTGATATATTTCACCAAAAGAGACTGTTCTTAGACTGTATACCAGGGTTGACTGAATTGACTGAATGCATTCTGATTTCAAGCTGAGCAGAAGTTTAATTATCTATGAGCTGAATGAGCTGAGCCTTATATGCGGACGAGTTTTATAATTAGGATCCGATTCTATTCAAAATTGTAACTGGGGGTTTTCGGCGGGTAGGAGATAATGATAGTTTCGTCAAAATTGGAAAATTCAAGATGACGGATCCAATATGGCGAAAGACATTTCTAATTATGATCTGATTTAGAGACCCACATTTCTCAATCATAAGGCTCAGCTCATTCAGATAATTCATTCATCTTAGATAAACTGCTGCTCAGCTTGAAAAAATCAGAAATCAATCAGTCAATTCAGTCAACCCTGGTATACAGTCTAACAACAGTATCTTTTGGTGAAGTATATAAAGTTTTCAGTACAATTTATATGTTTCCTACCTCGCTAGACTAGAGGATTGTTCATCTATATCTTGGTATAGTGGAATCAGCAATTCCATATGAAAATTCCGTATGATACGCCAATGACCTCAATATAACCTAAAAAACAACAAATGTCAAAAATTTAGTTTTGGTTTTATCCCCAGAATTGAATAAGGATGGAACTATATAACTGTTTCACAAACACTTCAGAGTGAGAGGAGACGAGGATATGGGATCTGTCCGTTCCGTACCCTGTTAAGAATAAGATGACTTTAACGTTAGTTTCCATCAAGGGACCTTAAGATCACCCCTAAGATGCCTAGAGACTTATAAACATCTCAATCACCCCTTTCACCCCAACAAAGGTGGCTATGAATTGACTAACTAGCGCAGTGTTGTTGTCATCATGACATCTGTCTATTTGCTCCTGTCACTTGTCAGTGAGGTGTTTTGAAATCGAAATGTATGGTTAGAAATTTGTTATGATGGTAGTTTTTTATAAACAAAAATTTGAATATAGGTATGAATACTATGAATTCTTTTAGGAATAAAGTATTGTTGTCACTGGTGTGAAGCGGTGTAGAAAGAATACCAGGATAACCAGGATATAACATAATGTTATTACTTCATTCAATTATTTAGCTAGGATGAGTCTTTCAAAGTATGGAAACCTGGATTTCCTATGATATTGTGGATTCATAGGAAGGTTCCGTTTTTGAATAAATCCTGAAAGGATGAATTGAAATTGAATGAAATGAATAATTACATGCAGAGATTGGGCTTCACAGCTTGGAGAAAAAAGACCACAATCCTTGTTGCATCTGGTTTGATTACATTGATAATATTTGGGTTGCATTTTTCAAAGTTGGAGGAAACTAAAGATAATTCTCAATTAGAGGAAGAACAAAATGCTGAAGGTGTTGCTGCTGCTTTGATGCAGAGTATCAAAAACGTCAGATTCATTGAAAATTTCAATAAAATGAAAATGAAAAAAACAGACTCAAATATTTTAGGCACAGAAATTGATGATATGGAGCAGAATGGCAAAGTAAATCAGGAAGCAGGAAAAAGACTAGCTCACTTATCAATGAAGCAATTTGAGAATCTTGAAATAGAACAACAACTTGGTATTCCTTATGTAAACTTAGATTCAAGAAACCCTTATATTCCAAAACAGAGAATAGTTCATTTGGATCTGAAAGGTGCTCCACCTAGTTTGGCATATCTCAGCAAATTTTTTCCTCTGGTAAAAAATATGGGAGCAACTGGTATATTGCTAGGTAAGTTTTTCAATCATTGAGTAAGTTATTGTATTCATGAATTACTCAGTAAGTTACCTACTTATTCTTGACAGGTAAATCAAACACATTCAATTATATAAATTTCAACTCAATGGATTGTGAAAACATTGAAACATAAATTTTACCTGGAATTTCAAGGATTTCAATGATACCTACACCTATGGATAGATTATCATGTTATTCATCTCATAAATGTAGTAGATTCTATGTAGATTTTATATAATTAGATATTTGATTTTTTTCTGTGAAAAAAGGTGTATTGTTAAAATTGTTGGGCTCTCTGAAAGGTATTTCCACTACTTTTTTCTACAGAAATGCAAGTTCACATAATTAGATAAGCCTGAATTTCTTTCACTAAACTATTTGAAAAGTACATTTCATTCATCAGTTTTGCAATAGAGTTACCTTCTAAAGATAATTTTCTATTCATACTGAAAACCATTTTCATTTTAGTACCTATACCTTGACTAGGTACTCTCCCTATTTTCATCACTTTCGATTTTTGAATTGATTTTCCAATTTTCAAGCAACAATACTAGGTTGTAGCAGAGGGGAAAACAACTCTTTAAATAGTTTCAAGTATCTCAAGTATTAATAAGTACCTCATGTATCATTTAGTACCTCAAGTACTCGCTCAAGTACTAGTATTCAGTATTCAAAACGAACTTTAAATAACCAGTTAAATATTTTAATAACTACTCTTTTCAAATACCTGACAATTAAATATGGTGTGCACATTTTGGGCAGTTGTTTCCCCCTGCGTTGTAGCTTATTAATCATAGGTTCATCATGGGCATTTTTATTTATTCAATTCAATGCTCCATTGAATCCTAATAAATGTTTCTACCTCCTCATTTCAATATGCTCTCATTCCTTTATTCTATGATTGCAGAGTATGAAGATATGTTCCCATTCAGTGGACTACTCAAAAATATATCTGCAAAAAATTGTTTCACAGAAAATAGGATCAAAGAAATTTTGAGTCTTGCAGAGAGTTCAGGTCTTGAAGTTATACCACTTATTCAAACATTTGGACATCTTGAATTTGCTCTGAAACATCTGGACTTTGTTCATCTCAGAGAAGTCCAGGGGAGCCCACAGGCTCTCTGTCCCAGTAGAAAGAGCTCTTTAGACTTCCTCAGTGAATTGATTGATCAGGTTAGTGCATAGCTCCTAACATTATCATAATCTATTATTTTGATACTGAGAATAATGTATAGTTTATTGTGTACCATCATTCAATTTCTTTGGGAGTGGTACTCCTAGTATAGTTTCATCATCAAATCCATATTGCAAACAATTTTAGCATTATTTTTCAGGTATTCATTATTTTTGTGCTCATTTCAATGTCTCTGATATTCTGTTACCCTTATCATATTTATTTATGGTCCCGCCGATTTCATGGGGACAATATTGCTATTTCCTAAATAGTAGGATATGCAGTTCTGTAAACTGAGAAAATTTCCCTTCTTGAAATATTGAAACAGACTGAAAATCACTGATTTTGTTTTTATTCATTTTTTGGATTATATTTGAGGAAGAAATGTTGGGTAAACATGTTTTTGAGTAGGATAAATAAGTTGGGATCATCAAAAGTACTGTTTGTTTCTATGCTAATGCTTATATAGGACTAAAAATTCTGGTTACCTATCACTGTTGAAAATTGAACTGCCCTACATTTTCAAATGTGGTAGGCTATGATAATAAGGAAACAAATAATTCTTCACAATCTTATATTGATCACAATGTATAGTATAATTGAATTTGTAATCATCATCAACAAATATATATTTGAGGCAATATCATGAGTTCAATAATGTTTTGATTTTATTATTGATGATTGGACTGCAAATAGGGCAGAATTTTGATTTGTTGAATTTTTTACATGATATTTACTAGTTTTAAAACCACATAATGTGATATTTTTGAAAAACTGGATCTGAGAACATAATTTCTATTTACATCCAGTCAATTTTAATGGGCGAGTGGACTGATAATGAATTATTGGCATTCAATTACTCTAAGGAACCTTTATGCACTAGCGGGCGGTAAAGTGCACTTTATCGCCCGGATTTGCGGGCGTAAAGTAGTACTTTAACGCCCGCGGGACCATTATCGCCCACGGGTCATAAAGTGCACAATACCGCCCGCTGTTCTCAAGTCTCTTATATCCACACATCCATTTGTGGAATACCCATATTTGAACTCTCAGCTGATTCTATCGTTATGATTATGATACATGTTATATTGTTCATCCGATTCCATCTTCGCTATAACTTCCTTCTTTGAATAGTTGCTTTCTGGCTGTCTGAAGTTTTTAGCGAAAAGATGACAATTTCAGCTTGTTTTTTGGATGTATTGCTAGACAGTAACCATCAGATTGATTGACAATGTCAAATTTAGGTAGCAATATACTGGGTATACATATTATTATCTCTCAAGGAATGAATCTCTGTTAGTGAACGAAGAGTTTTACTCTTACGATAATTGCGATATTCGTACAGTAATGTTTTAATATGTAGATTATACACAATCATACACATTGCGCTTCTCTTGAGAACTGAATTTATGAGTGACATATGAATTGTAGTTTGTTTGTTGAAGAAATCTAGTCATTACTTGTGACTCGGGAAATAAACCACTAGTGCATCAAATGTTGTATGTATCACTTGCGTAAAATGCGTTCATGGCCTTCATCGTGTAATGGCCCTAAGCTAGCGCCATCGGGCCATTATTCACGCCACAGGCCATAAATGCCTACTTTACGCCATTGATACATAAATAACTATTATGGCTGCCAGTTGGCGATACGTTGAATAAATGGTGACGTCAGTTTTTATGCTGTTTCGTTATTGGTCGGATAATCTTTCATGTTCACTCATGAAGCAAGGTTGTCAAGTCACCAATTATAATCACGCTATCAAAAAGATGTTAGATAGGAGGAACCCATGATATAATAGTTCAGTCTTGTTTTTCTCCAGCCACCAGCATGGCCAAATATATATTATTGTCAATAACAAAAGTCGTGCACCGTCACGTTCACCGATTCAAATGTCCCCTAGTGTGAATTGATATAATAATTAATTACATAAATTTATAATAAGCAATAAGCCACAAATCATAAGGGGACATTTCCAGACAATTGAATTTTTCATTGCTTATTAGGAATATTACCAAAACTCAATTGAGAATTTATGAATTGTGGAATTAAGAATATTTCTGAAGTTCCCAATCGTATTTCAACACGTGGCAACTGAGCTATGGTCTGCCCCTACTTACAATATCCTAGCGTCAGTTTTTACTGGCTGTCAATTTTTAGCCCTTTGAAAAGTATTATGACATTATTGATGATTTTAGCACCAAAAAATCGACCGAATTTTTTTTTTAATATGAAATTGAAAAGTATTTGAGTGTTGATTCTATTTAATAATAAAAAAATAGTTCACTGGCTTATTAATCAAATGCAGACATTACAGAGGTGTTAGATGAAGTTGGTTATTATTAATACCTATAAGGTGGACAATAGGAAATCCAAAGGTTTTGAGAATATCACTTAAATTGGAGTATTCAAACTCCTGGAAAATGATTGATGATGAATGACTGATTAGGTTATTTTCCTGTTCTCCTATCATTAAGTTTATGTTAGTTAAGTGTTATAAAAGGATGCAATTTTATCTGATGATTCGTGTTCTTCATATAAATGAATGCTGTTATCGTTGTCATTCAAAATGAAAATCATAGTTAGTACTAAAGAGGTTTAATATTATGTTCTTTGAAAAATAAAAGCGAAAATCGCCCTAATTGATCACATTTTCAGTGAGCTAGTGACTTCTTTTATGAACCGAATTATTCTTTCATCACCCTTACCAAACAAAATGTTCATATTCCTTCAATAGTTATTTTTGTATCTAGAGAGCAAAATGCTACTTTGGTGATCGAGATTTGTTTTTTTAACGAGGCGTAGCCTCGTTTAAAAAATAGTCGAGATGACCAAAGTATTTCGCGCTCGAGTTGCAAACAAAATTTTTTCTACAAACGTCAAAAAATATAGTTCGAAAGTAAAAATATGCTCAGCTTGATATGGAAAATAGTGTTGAACTGGCTAAAAAGGCCTCCCCCTATCCTCCCTAGGTACGCACGATGTTCCACGAACATGATAGGAATTTCCTTTCGTGCGCTCCAAGAGATAAAACAAAGTTATTGTTGAACATTCAGAAATAAATGATTTCGTGAATGTTTGCTCGATTGAGGACCATGAAGTTGAAATATGAATATCTCATATATTTTACATAACAATGCGCGAAGTAGGTACTTCGCGCACTGTTTTACTTCGCGCATTGTTTTGTGCAAGGTATCATTGTAACGTAGGAAACTGAAAAAAAGTATCACTTCGCAATTTGATATCAATGCGCGAACCTTGTCATTTTTTGACGTTTGTAGAAAAATACCTTTTTTTTTGTTAAGTTAAATCAAAATTTTCTCAGGTTCAAACATTTAAAGTACTTACACTAATAAGGAAATGATGAAACTGTTATTCATGCGATGATGAAATTCTCGATTCATTGATGTTATTTGAATTTGAGTAGGAACTGGAAACTCATCAGTGCTGTGATAAAACATTACTGTTCGCACTTTATCAAAATGATGGTATGCAAGCTAAGAAGAAGTAGGAACTGCTTATTTACTTTCGAATTGTTAATAATTATAGTAATACCACATAATCTTTTTTTCTGGAATATCAGTACAATATTATAAAATGAAACATGCCTATGTGGCACAAGAAAAAACTCTACCTGATGTTAAAAGTCATTGCATGATTTGCATGTTGCCTCAAATTCACAAAGGAGTGTTGAATAATGATTCACGTCCATTTGTGGAAGTGCAAAATGGAACACCAAAATCAAGCAAACAACAAACCAACAACCTTGAAATTCGATTATCAAATCAAAATTGTAATTTGTCTGATGGGTTTTGAAAACTTTAACCTAAAATTGTCCATTTCAACAAATATTCTATAGAAACAAATGAGCTCTGGATGTTTTCAACAAACTACCGCCATTTGCAGGCAGACAAATTTTGGGTAAATGAACAGATAGGTACCTCTCACCTACTAACTAGGTATTCATTCAGAAAGACAATGCTGTTATTGAAAATATTCACTGTGGTAATCTGCAATCTGCATAAGAAGCTTGATTTACTTTCATAGGTAATGGCTCTCCATTCTTCCACAAGATATTTACACATCGGCTGTGACGAAGTATTCCAAATGGGAGAATGCGATATCTGCAGGCTCGAAATCCACGAAAACCTCTTCTTGAAGCACGTGAAAAACGTAGCAGACATGGTCCGTTCGAAGTACCCCTCCGTCAAAGTCCTGGTCTGGGACGATATGTTGCGTCACATATCTCTGCAATCGATGCAAGAAATAAACCTCGGAGACTCCGTCGATCCGATGGTGTGGGTTTACGCAGAGGACATCTACCGTTTCGTTCAACCGGCGGTTTGGGAGAAGTATGCCGCTGTCTTTCAAACTGCGTGGACTGCCTCCGCTTTCAAGGGGGCTTTCGGGGAGACCCTGTACATCCCCAACGCGAGACGTCATTTGGAAAACAACCTGCGCTGGCTGGACGTCATGGCAACACAAACAACCGCGTTCACACAAGGGTTGTCGGGTATTGTCGTAACAGGCTGGCAGCGCTACGATCATTTTGCGGTGCTGTGTGAGCTCTTACCGGCTTCTATCCCTTCCTTAGCTCTGAGTCTAACAGCTCTTTCTCATGGTTATTTCAATTCCTCGTTGAAAGAAAAGTTTCTGTTGTCCCTAACTTGTCCGGAACCGAGTCTCGACAGATCTCCTTTCATAATGCTGGATTCCGATCCGTTTTTGTGGGAGAAATTGAATAGGTGTATTTTCCCTGGGAACGCAGTTTTCAAATTGATGAGTAGGTTCAACAGTCTGGAGATTGAAGCGAAAGAATATCTGGATGTGACTAAGAGACAGAAGGGGTGGATGACTTCTTACAATGTTCGCCATAATTATAGTTTGCCGTTGAGAGTTGAAGAGCTGACAATCGAACTGCCGAGGATGTATCATGGTATGATATCTTTGGCCCGGTCTGGTGTCGAATCTATGACCGACATTTTTGACAATTACACTATATCCGAGTGGATTGAACAAAAGATTTACCCGTATGTGTTGGAATTTGAGAAGATACAGAATGCGAGTGTGGTTCTTAAGAGTGTTAATCACTGGCCATCTAGACCCTTGGACCCAATGAAAGATATGCAAAGATTAGGGATTGGAATTGATGTTCATTAGCAGAAAGGAGCTAGGAAACTCAAAAATCATCTTTGAAATTTCAGTAATAGCTACGTTGGTGTGTTAATTGTGATGAATGTGAAGAAAAATTAAATTCTTGATATAAAGGATTTAGGATATGAATAAGTGATTGGGGAGAATTGTTCAGTTCAGTTTATCCACGTTATTATTTTCGTGACCCTATATTTCCTCTAGGTGCTCTCAAGAAATTTAAATAATTGTGTTGAATGAAAAGTGAAAGATTCACCCCCATGTGTTCAGATTTGAAATGATTGAAAATGTTGATAGTTTGCTATCTAATACCAAATTAGGGATTGGAATTTACAAGCGAAATGTTATAGTTTCACTGTGAACGCAGTTTAAATTGATGAATGGGTTTTACAGTCTTGAAACTGAGTCGAACGAATTTTTTTTTCTGTGACGTAAAAATAGTTTGACATATCATCTCTGTTGACAGGATATAAAATGTCACTTTTCATAAATTATTTTTTCCTGTCAACTTTAACGTCGATAATTTCCTGACTTTAATATAATGTAATCTCAATATTGATTCCTATCCTTTTTCCGGTCTCAGGAAAAAATATTGTATACACACGGGAAAAATATTAGATTTTGGCTCACGGTTTTTTGTCTAAAATCTACTACCTTTTTCCCTTGATAGTTTACCGTTGAGAGTTGAAGAGTTAGTCAAACTACCTAGAATGTACCAAGGCATGATATGATGTCTTTGGCTAGATCTGCTCCAGCCTCTATGACCAACATTCATGACAATTAAGCTATATCTGAATGGAATGAACATTAGATTTACTCGTATTTAGGGTTTAAAACACTGGCCGTATACACCATTGTCGATCTAAATTGAAACCTAGTAGGTAACCTAACTAGATTGTCATTTAAATCGACAATGTCTAGACCCTTGGACCCAACGAACGTTACGCAAAATTGATGTTCATTAGTAGAAAATAACTAGGAAAAACAAAAATTATCTTTGAAAATTCAGTGGAAGCTACGTTTGCGTGTAAATTGTGACAAATGTGAAAAAAGTGCTTGTGGTATATTTGTTTGATCAATGGGTTATTTCTACAAATTTCTAAATGATAATAATTTTTCAGTTCAGTTTATCCAACTCGTAATTTTCGTGGCTCTAAAATGTTTTTTATATGGTAATGGAGAAAAATCCACATTGACTCTTATTGAAACCTTTGAAAGCTATTCACATCGTACAATGAATAATATCAGTCATTAGATTCAAGATGATGAAGTTCTGAAGTACTTTGTTATTTCCTATCACACTTCTTGCACTTGTTTCATATATATCTATAGCTTCCAAATCGAATTTTAAATTATTGCATGATACACTGACATGAATTGATTCACCTCAATATCAGTAATGCTGTACATTTTGTGTTCTTTGTTATTAGGTAAATAAAAGTATGTTTGTATTTAAATTATATAAATTTCACAACTCGAGTTTTTTCCCGGATTAGATAGAATGAAATAAAGGAAATATCAATAATAATGATGTTTAGATGTACAATATGACTTGATGTTCATCATACAGGGTGTGGAAAAAAATCTGAATAGAAAAAACTCAATCACGAATCTGTGATTATTAGAGGTCTGTAAAAACAAATTTCCATATTTCAAGTTTCAACCCTAGGGGAATATTTCCAGATATATTATGAACAGAAAATGGATAATATATATAAAGAAACACATTTCGAATTCGCAATCTCTATCTGATATAAAGAATATTAACTCTTTATATTGGTAGGTATATTCATATGTAATACCACAAGTTATACTATTTTGCCGGAAATATTTGGCGATTGTCACATAATTTCGCCGAATGACATTCATCAAAACTTTTCAGCCGTAGGCAAGAAATTTTGGAACAATGTCAGTGAAATTGAAGCAGCAAGCTGGAGTATGTCAATTGCCGAATATTACTAAGAAAAATAGTATCACGAGTTGTATTCGTTTCGAGTATTCCATGATTGAGACAATAAACGAGTGGCTTTCGAGAGTTGCGCACACTGCATCCATCATTCTGGCTTCCAACATAATTGACGTTTTAAACGTCCAAAATTGTATCGTTGTAAAACGAGGTTGGTTGGTCAGTGGTCACGTGTGAGTCAATTAGGTTCTGTGTTGGTAGAGCAATTCCGATAAAATTTAGTAAACAAAAAAATATTGCTGTAATACAGAAGAAACCGTGAAAATGGCCGATTCTGATTGATTCTAATGAACAAAGAGTGGAATAGTCAACAGAACACAATTACTTTCTTGGATAGCGCATGCTCAAATCGATGATGAAGATAAAGTGGCTTCAACATCAGCAATTTTTGAACTGATGGAAGTGACTTATCGTTACAGCTGAATGAAAATTCCGCATCAATAACGTCTTCCAATAAACACTTCAAATCTCAAGAACAAATAGATTCAGGAGATATTGATTTTTGCCATGGTGCAGTATCAGTTACATATATCTACTGATATTTCTATCTGATATTCCTAAAATTATTATCAAAGACAAAACCCGAATGTGACATGAACATTTGAATAAATGTTTAGATCTCAAAAGCCAAGGCGCTTAGATTTTATTCTGTAATGTTCGAATTTATTGTAGTTACAAATAATCATAAATAAAAAGTGTTCTGGATAAAAAAGTACATATCCCCCCCCCAAGGTACAATTCTAGGAACGCCACTATTGTATAGGTATCAATTTTTCATGTTCATAATATATCTATGTATCTGAAAATATTAAATTTATTTTATTTGACAAATGTACAAATGCATTTGCCCTGAAAAGGAGAAGAATAGCTATAAATGCGACATTTGGGTCCCATTGAAAGATGAAACCGGAAATTAGATTAATAATCATTCTAAAAATTCAACATAATCATGTATCATGATCATGCGTTGATACTACATCAATTTTTGGATTATGGATTTTTGATTAGCATAGGGAATAGATGTTGTTCAATTGTGATAGTTCGGTAATACTCATTATTTGTGCCTAAATATAAGTACCTATATGTAATTATTGATAATTTTTTCATCGTTTTTCTATTTCAATTATTCCTCCAAAGCAACTTTTTTATTGGAACTTCTTATCGCTCAAAGGTTGTTTGAAATCATAATTTCATCTAGAGAAAATTGACTGTATTTATTCTGAAGTTTTGGCTGTGCACAATGTTTTCTTTGTAATTCCATATCCAGTCACAAATATATATACCTTTACACCATTGAAATTGTGCATAATGTTCCTTTCCTCAAGTATGTGGTATACTATTGCTAATGTCATCCATATATGGTGCATCTCCACCATAAAGATATAGGTTGTTGAATTCAAATTGAATCTATTTCTGAGCAAAATTAGCAACAGAAAGATTAAAATGGTCTCTGTGATTTTGACATATAGAATAAGGCGATCCAACTCAGGTAAGAATAAATTTGGCGCCTGGTTGGCACCACAAATAAAATCAAAAGGATAAAATATTATATTAATTAAATTGTTTCCATTTTTGATTGTTTTTGATAATTATCAGAAGTACACTCCTGATACGAACAGAAATGTTCATATAATAACAATTCATTAGCCATAATTGATTTCATTGTGCCAACCAATGCATAGTTTGACGGGTCGTTGGATTGCCTGATGGGGAATATACACATAAGAATATTCACTCACAACTATACTATAGACCGCTATTTGACTCATCAAAGCAAGCCGAAAACATCATCCAATAAATTGCTCGCCTGAAAAAGATTCTGCTCAATGTACAGAACTCCCATATCGTTCATGACATCGAGTCATGTCTCTTTGTGTTCGGAAACAATAAGTAAGAGTAGGATATATGATATATGGCAGGTTCTGAATGCGCACGCTCCATTGAATAAGTTCGATTTCGTAAAGGAATGAGCTTTGATCTTATGGTTGCTGTCGCATGGATTGATCACAAGGGTGTGGTTGACAATTCCCAAATCTTTCATTGGTCGAAAACCTCCGGTTGCTGGTGGGACTGCGTGAAGTTGATCAACCACATATTCTCCATCTGGAAATTCAGATACTTCACTATTTCCAGTAACTCGTTTTCCAGTTTTTTGAGACGTTTCCATGTTTTTTTTTCATGTACCTATTGAATTATCTCATCCTCTTTTGTGTTGTGCCCGAAAATTTTGTTTGTCGAGGTTAATGGTACGTTACATTATTCATAACAATAACTTAATTTTGCTAGGCAATAACTTAATTTTGCTAGGCAATAACTTAATTTTGCTAGGCAATAACTTAATTTTGCTAGGATATTTGGTAATAGCTGCTGCTCATAAATTTAATTCTGCCATCAAGTTGGGGTTCTAATAGATCCATTATTTTCGTACTTCAGACAGGAATAGATGTTTAAAATCACCGTTTGAGTTTCCACTTGGTGGGTCTTTATGAGCGAACTCCGCCTGCTCTAGCTCCGAATCACTATCACCAACTTCGTTGGCTTCCTCGGAATGCCTCCAGAACGCCTAAATATTTTAAATGCGAAACAGAATACGGAAACACTATGATTGAAATAATAATTTTTAAGACGTTAAAAACCGTGCTTCAACGCATTACCGTACCAAACCCCCTAAAAAAAAAACTTGAGTAACCAACATTTAGTGAGTATTATTGTGGATATATAACAAATGAGATGCGGATTGATCTTGTCTAGTCCACGTGGACTGCATACCGGAGAAGCAGGAAAAGGATGTGAAGCAAATTTGTGGATCCACCCATCATCTTCAACTTCAATACTGGAGGCGCCACAACTTTGTAAAGACTACAAATATCATTGTATTCAAAAAATCTATAAGAAAATAATAATAAACGTATTAGTCCCGAACTATGATCTCTCTGATACCTTTTGCCATTCTGCAGTGTGGCAGTGTGATTGGTCAGCTCAAGGACAATAGGCGTATTGGGACTAATACGTCGCACCAGTCACACCAATGAATCGACACCATGTCGAATGGCGCAGGAATTGTGTGTTTCGAAATAGACATATTCTAATTTATTTTTTTCATCGTCCTAGCATGAATGGAATAATTCAAAATTGATTCACTGGTAGTTTTTCAGTATAGAGTTCAGGATGATGTCGTTTTAAAAAATCAGTATGGTCTTCCCCATTCAAACAATGTCCTCGTTAGCGTGGTTCCAGACAGGGCCAATAAAAAACCGACAATTCCTAAATCTTTTATTGGTCGAAAATGCCCGGCTGCTGGTGGATTTTCCTGTGCACCGCCAACTGCCCGGACTGCGTGAACCGGCTGCCGCAGACCGCGCACAAAAACGGTTTTTCACCGGTGTGCGTCCTGCAGTGGCTCTTCAGCGTACGAGCGTCGCCGAACGCTTTGCCGCACGTGTCGCACACGTGGTCCCTAACGCCTAAGTGCGTGCGCTTGTGCGTGGCTAGGTTGCTGGACGTGTGGTAGCGTTTGGGGCATCGGTCGCACATATAGGGCTTCTCTCCTGATGAATGAAAATAGCAGTAGTACTATTCGCGAGATTCACGAAGTGGGCGACATCTAGGTTACATAATACGAACTTCAAACTGGGGGAAAACAAACTGATGTCTATGGATAAAGTGCATAGACTACATTGCATTCAGCTTGCTATAGATGTAGTCAAACTTGTCAATGACAAAGTGTTGGCACTGTTGGTAGTGATGATGGTTGTGTTGGTTAATTTTTTTTACATTATTACATTTTCATTAGTTTAGTGAACAGTGAACGGGTGAAGAATTGGAGATAGTTCAAACGATTCAAACTAATTATGAGAAGCAAATCAATTGACATATAAAAGAACAGCTAAAACATGTTTACAATACCCAGATTGTCCTGCTTTGCATGAACAAATACAAATCCATTGTTCTACAGTAGTTCCTCTGGACCCCCAACTTCAATTTTACTTCATGTGGGGAAGATTTCATCGTCGAAGTTTGTAGACAAAGTGCAAAAATGTGCCTTTTGTTGAAGTCTTCTGCCTCATACAAAATCACATGATAAGCACGGAGAACGGCTCCTCCTTCCATTACTGGTCGGCTTTTTCCATATAAATAGAGCAAAATATCTGCTAAAAGAGCGTCTATCACAGGCATTATTAGCGTTTTCGATCGAATATTGACAATTAATGTCAAGAAATTTAAAAACATCACTCTTATCAGTACACATCAGTACACAAGCTAATGGCACTAATGGGATTGAGTGTGGATTGAGTTTGTTTTCCCCCAGTTTTGACGTGGCTTTGACACGATGAAAACCGAACGCCACCTGGTAACATTGATTCCTGCGAATAATACAGCGGTCGCTATAACAGGGGTTTGTTAAAACTATTATTTAATAATATCTATCAGAAATAAGGATGAACATGAAACTGAAATAGGATTTATCTATAAAAATTCCAATCTCGAAAACTGTGAGGTTTTTATCGAGGTCGAGTTGTGGTTTTGTTCATCACCAGCTGGAGTATGATCCATGGTTTACCAAACACCCTGTACATATGCTTTCCTATTCATTGAACAAATACTGACATACTTCAATTTCAATATCAGTTTTAGATCGAGTATAATATGTATATTTTTCAAACACTCCAACACATACCTATCCCAGCGTCCTTGAATAAGGACGGATCACCTTCGAATATCTGAAGAAGGTCAGTATATGATCTGGTACTTCTAGGTTTTCTTGATCAAATTATCGAGTAAAATAATTGCAGAAAAAGACAATGTTTAGGAAGAGAATGTTACACATACCTGTATGCGATCTCATATGAATTTGAAGGTCTGCTGCTCGACCTGCCGTTTTACCACAAACGGAACACTTGAATTTCTTCTCTCCGGTGTGTGTTATCAGATGTGCTGACAAAGCACAGCGACTAACGAACGACTAAAATCAATGGATCAAGATGAAAACAATTCCTATGCGCGGTTGTCAAGTTCATCATCTGACGTTGCGATGACATGAACACTTGTTTAATTTTTAGTCTGAGCTAGAAGTTAGGAATGTTTTCCCGTTAGTTTTCATGTCATCGCAACGTCAGATGATGACCTTGACTACCGCCAATCAAGAATCCAGTACAGCTTGACGATTTTAGCCATCGAATTACTTGAAATTCGGTCACCCAGTATATTTGATGATGCTCACTCGAAATATGCTATTGAATGAATGGTATATGTATACAGGGTCACACCGAACTGCACCTAAACTTTTCTATTTGAATAGGGACACCCAGTATATTATTCCATATTCAAGTGGACTTCATTATTACAAATTCAACAATGCCGGGTTTGATGGGATTTTCTCAACCGACTACGAAGATATGACAACAAATAAAACGATTAAATAAAAAATGTATATGATTAGATTTTATTAATATAACACTATTGAAATCGAATGAAAAGAAAATAATTCAAACCTCAACTGCTCAATATATCGTCCAGTCTACTGCAAACATTTCCTAGCTCTTTTGATAACGTTCATCATTGTGACCATATTTATCACGTTGCGATCAATTTGTGCGTATGAATGTGATTTTCTTCGTTTCTTCCATATTCACAATTGGCGACTCATAAACCTGTTGTTTCAAGTAGCCCCACAAATAAAAATCGAGTGGGGTGAGGTCTGGCGACCCAGCTGGCCAGTTGCTATCACCATCGAGACAATTGGTGGTTATTAGATTTCAATTATTTTATTTTCATTCGATTTCAATCGTGTAATATTGATAAAATTTAGTCAAATAAATTTTTAATTGAATAGTTTTATTTTTTGCCATATCTTCGTATTTGTTTGAAAACATCCCATCAAACCCGGCATTGTTGAATTTGTAACAATGAACTCTACTTGAATATGGAATAATATACTGGGTGTCCCTATTCAAATAAGAAAGTTGGGGTGCACTTCGGAGTGACCCTTTATACCTACGCGTTTTATGCAATAGCATATTTCGAGTGAGCAGCATCAAATATACTTGGTGACCAAATTTCAAGTCATTCAATCGAGCGGTTGATTTTTCACTGGGGGGGGGGGACATTTTGGCTGGGACATGGTGTATACTTATTCTCAAAATTGAATTCGAAGTTTTTCATCATCTCCACTCAGTGAATGTGGGTACTGATCAGTTTCATCAAGAAAATATGAATTCAAGACCAAATTGTGTAATAGTAGGAAAATATGTTATTTATAATGTTAATATCTGTAATTGTTTGTTGATGTTATATATTGAATCATTCTTCAACTTGTTATTTTACATAAGAATTTCATTATCATTAATAATTTATATTCAGTATATTGTTTAGTTTCATGGTTCATTAACTACAAATATTGAAAAGTTCATTCATCAAATAATCTACCTATTCCATTCATGCTGGTATTGATTCCACGCATCTCTGCTGAATGATAAATGAACATATTGAATGAGGTAAATGATGGTTGAAGGCTTTTGAGTTGGTTGCAAAAAAAACATCATAACGCCCGATCGTAACACTATACATATTCATATTCGGGCGGTTGGTCATTTAGTCATTTCCTTTCAACTAGCAACACTGCATGTGTTGATATGTTGACGTCACTATCAACATAGCTTGAAAGCCCTTTTTCTGAAAATTGCAAGTTTATTTTCATATTTTGGCGAAAGAGCCCGAGTCCGAAGGAGGAGGACTCTTACAATGTATGAAAATAAACGAATGCAATTTATAAAAGATAATACGCTTGATTGCAAAATCATCTCTGGTAATTTTTTTGCACGAATGTAATTCATTGGAATATTTCATTTCTTTCACTTTTTGAAGTCTATCTGACATTTATTCGTTCTGGCAGTGCAATCTTCGCTCGGCAGTGCAATTACCGCTGTAAGTTTTCGATAATTGCATTGCTCTTATGGGACATTTCATACAGGGTGTCCCATATATAGCTTAAGGGCATATATTCCTTAAACGATTTCAAGTCGAAAGTGCCGAAAACTCATCAATAGTTGAGGAGTTATGTGAATAATTTTGTATCTAGGGGTTTTCGGGATCGGATATTATTATTCTTTCGTCGGAATTTATTAATGCATGGTGGATCCAATATGACGGACGAGTTTCGTAATTATGATTCTAACCTATTTAACATTTGTATCTGGGGGGTTTTCGGGATAAGATTATGATTCTCTCATGAAAAGTTGGAAATTCAAGATGGCGGATCCAATATGGCTAACGACTTTTGTAATTATGATCCAAATCTATTCAAAATTTGTATCTCAGGGCTTTTGGGATCAGAGATTATGATTCTTTCGTCAACATTTTGAAATTTAAAATGGCGTATCTCCTATTCTATTCATCACAATTGGTATGTATGAGGGTTTTCGAGGTCGGAGATTATGATTCTCTCTTCAAAATTCGAAAATTCAAGATGACGGATCCAATTTAATGGACAGTTTGTAATTATGATTCGATTCTACTCAGAATATGTATCTGGAGGTTGTTGGTGTTAGGGATTATGATTATTTTATGTCAAAATTGGAAAACTCAAAACAGCGGATCCAATATGGTGAACGAGTTTTGTAATTATATGATTCGATTCCATTCAAAATTGGTACCGGGAGGTTCGGGGTCGGAAATAATGATACTTTCGTCTCGTCAAAATTGGAAAATTCAATATGGCGGACGGGTCTTGTAATCATATGTTCTGATTCCATCAAAAATAAGTATATGATTTATTTCGGTGTAGGACATTATGATTATCTCGTCAAAATTGGGTACTTACAGAGAATATGAGAATACTAAAAAACACGCTTTTGTAGTTAGCCGAACTGAAAATTTTTAAATAAATATTAGATTGAAAAACTAATCTAATACCTTTTCATAAATAGCCAAACTGATGAAAAGCGAGGAGCTAATATTTTCTGTTATGCATTTATCAACACACTTTTATTATTTTATTTTCTACCTCTTTTCAGTTTGGCTATCTATAAAAGGGTGTTTCTTTAGTTTTTCAAACTACTATTTATTCATTTATAATTTTAGTCTTTATGATTCTAGAGTCAAAATGCTTGATCCTTTTACACACAACAAATCGTGAATAATTAAAATGGATATATCGCATACCTTGGGGCATATTTCACAGTCATAGGGTTTTTCCTGAGTATGAGTACGTAAGTGTATCCTCAAATATGATGAAGTTCTGAATGATGCATCACATTCAGTACAACAATAAGGTTTTTCTCCTGTATGTGTTCTTTTGTGAGTCTTAAGAACAGAGGAGTGAGCAAAACGTTTATCTGAAAAAAAAATCAATTGATGCTAGAGCTTGGTGTAATTACCCAAATACATACCACATATGTCACATTTATAGTTTCTCTCTCCAGTATGTATTTTTTTATGTACTAGTAAACCATGTGCGGATGCGAATTTTTTCCCACATAATGTACAGTTTACTGGTTTCTCTCCTGTATGTATTCTGTTGTGAATCTATAAGACATTGTGAATTAGAGATTTTGACTTGAAAGTCGATGAACACTAGTGATCGCAATTATGTTGTTGAAACTTGAAAATTTTTGATAAAGTATACTTCGAGCCAATTGCATATAACGTGATATCAAAATAGTAGATAAACTACGACTTTTCAATAGGATGAATACAAAGGACTTGATAATATTTTCAGAGGCTTAGGTCTTGAAAGCGTATATCATTGAGTTGAAACTCCAATCCAAAACATAAAGTGGACATACCTGAAAAGTCAGGAATTTATAAAATTCGTTGTAATGATTGTGGAAGACATAGGCCAAACTAGGCGACCTATAAAACAATGTTAAAGAACACCAAGCACATTTGAAATATATAAATATAGATAAATCAAGTGAAGCTGAACATGAGTGAGGATGAAGGACCTATACCATATAACCCTCTGTATAGTTTAGTGATTTATTAGAATTAGCATATGAACTCGACATTAATTTAACCATGACACATTGAATATGCAGTTAGTATATATTTCACGCTTATTTGAAAACATATAGTATTCAACTACGATATAGCCACAAAATGCTCGAAGTTGAATGAAATGATGAATAAATACAAAAAGCTCAGTCATTTCCACACTATGTTCATAAAATGAACAACAATGGAAGATTTCGGGAAAAAAACAACTACATCCTGGGGCAACTCTGTTCATCATGGAACTCTCAGTTATGAGATCTAGCAGTTGAATAGGTCGGTGGAAAAATCTACTCAAGTATATGTCAGGTAGTGCCATCTGTCAGCAGAGTGGTTTACTTGTAGTACCACTCTGTAGCGTATAGACGTAAGGGTCTGTACGTGACAGCGCCATATAGTGTGTTTCGCGATCTCTTGATCCTATCTTAGAGCTTTGCCACTAGATGGCTACAACATGACTAGAAGTTCATGTTATACCCTGTGTCTTCGAAATATTTAATTGTCTATCATACCCTTTATGCAACGGACCCTTACTATATACACATCAAAATCTTTCAAGTTCAACAAAATTATAGCAGTGGCAGTAGAAGTTGATATGCAGTTTGCTGTATTTGTTCATTTGAACATACAAAAAATCGATATCTCATATTCCTATAGGAAATAATTCTTTGGAAAGAAAATTGGTAAATGATCTTATTGAGCAATAATAATCCACTATTTGATTTGGATGTAATAATCATATGCTGGTTTTTGTGGGATTTTCATTTTATCCGAAATCAATTAAAATTATGAATTTAAGTTCGGTGTCAATATAACTTACTGAAAGATGGTTTTGTTCATAGAATCGTTTTCCACAAACTGTGCATAAATGTTTCTTCTCACCCCCATGCGTGCGCATATGTTTTTTGAGACTGGTTTGTTGTGAAAAGCTTTTCCCACATTCTTTGCATTGATGTGGTCGATGATCGGGATGGTTTTTCAACATATGTAATTTATAATGTTGCATGGCTAAAAATAATTTTAAGTAGTATAGTTTGCGTCACTTATTTGTGAGAATATAACAAGTTTCTGTTTTTTAGCTATTCAAAAAGAATGAGCTATACTGTGTAATTATACAGGGTGATTCAGGTTCTAAGGCACAAACTAAAATGAGAGATAGACCTCATCATTTTAATAAAAAAAGTTCATATAAACTTTAGTCCGATCTCGTTCAGTAGCGGAGCTACAGGGAGTCAAAGTTTTTTTTTCTATTAATTGAAATATCTCGCTTACTTTTCAAGATATCATTTTGAAATTTGGTGTGGACGATACTTTCTAGAAGACCATCATTTCAAGTCATTTAGAGATTTTCGAAATCTACAGGGTGATACGTTATTGAGGGTAGAGTCTATTTTATCCCCACACAGTTTTTCGTAGTACGCCTCTGGCATCTTTCAGTGATCAAATTGTGTGGAGCGTTGAATTTCGAGTCATTTTTGCTCCTCAATTTTTTTCGAGAAACGAACCGTTTTTGAGATAAATAAGCCATATACGTTCTGGAACATGTTGATTGTGCGTATCACCCTGTATATTTTGAAAATATTTAGATGGCTTGAAATGATGATCTTCTAGAAAGTATTAACCACGCCAAATTTCAAAATGATGTCTCGAAAAGTAAGCGAGATATTTCAATAAATAGAAAAAAATTATTAGATTTTGAGCCCCTGTAGCTCGGCTACAGAACGAGATCGGACTAATGTTTATATAAACTTTTTAGATCAAAATGATGAGATAAATCTCCCATTTCGGTTTGCGCCTTAAAACCTGAATCACCCTGTATATTGTACTTTATTGAAGAAGAAAATAATTCTTTCAATTCAAATATCTTATATGAAGTAATGCCACTTGAGAAATATCTAATAAGCAATAGTTTTCAATATATTTGTACATGACTGACGAAAAAATGAATGGTGTAGTTGAGGTGTAGTAAACACTTATAAAGATTCATAATAGCTCATGAAGGTTGAAACATTGGGTCATGATTTGACATTCAGGAAGGAGTTAAACAGCTTAATCTCAATATTATAAAAATCTTTGGATATGTATCAACAGAAAATCAAAAATAATATTAGGAATGATATAAAATCATTGTATGTGGATACAGAAAATTCAAAGTTCAAATGCATACTGAATTTTACAATTCTTTGGTATCTCAAATCATCATGTGATTAGATATCTTCAATCATCATATGATTTGATATCTTGAATCATCATGTGATTTGATATTCCCTCAATATCAAAGGAAATGCAGTGATGACTTCTTTCCTGTATAGATTTCATTAATTAACTCTCTCAATTCATGAACAGATCAGCTGAAATTGTGGATATTTGAAAAAAAGTGACATTTACTTGAAAAAATGTAGCTAGTTAATGAAGCAGCCTACAAAAAAATCTTGAAACCCTTTCAGCCAAATACTTCTAGCCACCATAATATATCCTAGAAATAAGTCCGGAGATGTTTATATCTTTATATCATTTATATTTATTTTATATTATTGCATTTTTAGGGATCCTCATTTATCACACATAGGATTTGAATACAGTTAAATTCAGTGCTATCCTGAAATGGGGTGCTGTCAAATACATAATCAAAATTCAATGGCAAAACCCATTATTGGAAAATACCTAAAAACGGTGGATTCAGCTAATACTCAAAAAACAGATGGCCTACATCATCAGATGATGCAGGACAAATAATCTGACCCTTAAACTGGTGGTTACACACAAATTCTAATCATTGATTTTTTCATGTTTCTTAACATTCCCATGACCTTTGGTATGTAAGGATTATATAGGCTGATGATGGATATACATGACTGTCTGAAACATGGTCCCTGAATAATATTGATTCTTAAATGTTGTGAAGTAGTTTGGCTAAAAATGAATTTATTCAGTACTCTACAAAAGCCTAGACAAAAGCACTCTATGAATAATATTGAGGGTAACATGATAAAGGCATCCTTTATGAGTGAATACATAATTATCAATTTGCATATGGACCAGTAGTTTTTAGTAATTTAATGCTATGGATTTGGAGATCACATATAATTACCAAATTTTATGAACTGATTGTTCCAGTGGAAAACATTCAATTCAATAATTATATATATATTATATTCAATTCATATTGTTTCCCTAATTACTCATAACCAATTTATGTATTAATTGTGGAATATCACAAGATATGTTTTAGAACAATGAATTGCATACATTAGTCCAAAGGCATTTAGAGAACTTTGGAAATATGAAGAAAAAATGTGGTTCAGATTATGTTCAGCTAGGTACTAAATAAAATAACACCAAAATTGTTTCACTCTACTGCCATCAAGAAATGGATTATTTTTATGCAATAAGTAAGTTTACAGGAAAATGTTGAGGCAAACAGATGATTGGCTGAATACATAGTGCAACATTCTATGATGAAATTTCCCCCAATTATCTTCCAGTAGATAAACTAATGAAACAAGCATACCAATTGATGTGAATGTTGCTTCAGCTCATGACAAAATGAATGTGATATTCCCATTCAAATGAGCTGCAATTATCTATAACAAAAATCTTACCACTCAATTCTTGACCACAAATTTCACAACTGATTATTTCACCATGTTTTACCATATGTGACTTCAGAGAAATTTCAGATTGGAATTTTTTGCCACATTGGATGCAGCTGTGGGGCCCCTGAAATTCTATTGATTTTGTTTTAGGGGGATTTGGAACAAGACTTATAGGCACTGCTTGTGATGTCAAATCAGAGATATCTTCATTTTGGTCAATGTGATGGATTTCTATAGAATTTTCCCTCAAATTTTCCATATATAGAAGTTCAGACGAATCTGCTTGTGATTTATCTTTCTGGATGTCTTTATCATCAATGCAAATATCCAAGTCAGTAAAAGTTGCATGACTACTATCTGGACATTCATTCCTATCTTGTTCTGATTCTATGATCACATCTGAAATCTGGAATACAATGTAAAATACAATGAGTGTATGTAGTACTCAAGATATTTTGATACAAGTTGAAAGATACAAAGAAGTAACTACTCACATTAGTCACATCAGCTTTATTGGATGAATCTTCAACACTGATTTCTGTGAAATTTTGTAGATGTATTTCACCTGGACTATCCCCCAAAATAGCAATAGATCTATAAATGATTGTTTGACTGTTAGAAAACCAATTTTTCAGCTGTAATTCTGACCTTCTACATTGGTTTATGAAATTTAATGATATATTAAGTGTGAAATAGCAGTCCTCACATATGCAATTGGGTAAACCTTCATTCAACTCAACCTAAAGTTATAGATAATGATGAAAGATGAAAATACAATATCATAATTTCACTGACCTTCCTAGATGTTATTTCATTGAGATGGTGTTCCAATGAATTTTCATACAGAGATCGAAGTTCTGTTACGTTTTTTTCAGATAGACATGTTCTACAAAGTCTGTCTAATGCAGCAAATTTCATATCTTCAGACATAATTCTGATGGTTTGAAAAATATGGAGATTTTCAGTTGATGGTTTCTGGTTCTGGCGCCTGGCTCAAGTTCAAGTATCTTGTACTGATGTAATAATGTCTAATCAGTATCTTATGGTTTTACCCGAGGTTTCACCAGTTTCCACAGGGTTTGATTTGACTGATTTGGTGATTCGAGGTTTATTTTGTTTATGTTGTTTATTTATTTTTTGTTTGTTTACTTTCTTAATGACATTTTTAACCTAGAGAACTGACAGTTCACAGAAACCGAAACTCAGACAGAAGACAGATGACACTGAGGACGGCTTTTTATTATCGTTCTGTGGCACTCAGGCTGCTTTCACACTGTCTATTAACTTCTATAGCTTTCACATGCATCCGTTTTCACGGATCTACGTTTGCGTGATTTACGTACACAAGTTTCGCACAAGTTTTGGGTCCCTTCCAGATGGAATGGTTCGAGCTTCGTTGTTATCCCTGTTTTGCGCAAATTTTGCCAAAGTTTTGTTAGCCCAGACGTATGTATAGGGCGGTATAGGAGACAAATCAAAGCGATTTGAGCAGTAGCGGTAAATTCAAATCACTGATACTATCGATAAATTCGAATAACGAATGACTTCAAATCATAGTATATAATACCAGCCCTTGATTGGCACGGAATCAAACTCTAGTGAACATTTCAGCACACGGCTGGTCCTGAAAAAAACATAATTTGAATAGCAAATCTCTATAGGCCTCAACTATAAGTGCATCCACAGTCCTTTTTTCAGGGAGGAAGGAAATTATCCCTTCTGTATACTTATTTTAAATATTCTAACCTTATACTTGGCATAAATAAATCTTCTTTCTAAACAGTATATTTCTCAGAAAATCACTTGAGAAAACAGAATGAAATAATAACCGACCATCGAAGGAATTGAACCCAGGTTATTCATGGAATTCGAATGCAATATAAAATGCGCCACGCAGATACTTAAAAATTTCAGTACCTATAAACAGAGATCAAATTCTCTGGTATAAAGAAATAATCCATCGATAGTGTTTGATGAATTGATCTTCATCATACAAGTGAGTAGTATGGAAATGAATTTTTTTTTCGATAGAATTATAAACGGGTTTTCATGTAACATGAAGGGCTTTGTGTCCTAAGGAAACGTTACTATAGTTAATATTGAATTTCAAGCCAAAAAAAATTGCGGACATGACTTTGAGCGTTTCTTCTTTCCTTAGACTGAGTATAATCCTTTTCAAGAAAGAATCTATAGTCGACACTAGTCGACACTAAAGTCACTCTAGTCGACACAAGATGTTGTTTACATAGCCTATTAGGCGTTTTCGGAAACTTTCTCTGGGTTGATAACTCGATCCAGATAAGGTCACGAGCCAGAAAACTCGGATCATCTACTGGTGTTCAACATTTACGAACGTGTCAGGTTAGGAACACTGAATATTATTTTTTGTGGTTTCATGAATTTGACAGACGAAAATGGTAATATTATATTCAATCAATTATTTGGTCTGATTACAAATATTTATATTCACCTGTGTATTGATGTACTTGCCTCATATGTGTTGTTGCACATAACCACAAACTTCACCCCTACCTAAATTCTTGTTTCAATGAATTACTTCAATGAAATTATGAAGAATGAAAATGTATATCACCGGTCGTGATTTTTCCCAACATGCAAATTATTTTATTCTTATTGTTATCGTCGAATGTAAACTCCCGCGTTTGTCCCGCGGTGTCCTTTGCAAGTCTGGCGACGCTGCTTTTGAGTAGGGTCAGGAAAAATCGACCCGAGTCAGTGATCGAGTTAGCATCATTCAAGTTTCCGAACAGAGGTAGGTAACTCGGTTTGGGTAACCGAACGTTCAGGTTTGGGATCCGAACAACCCGAGTAAGTTTCCGAAAACGCCTATTCAGTTCATTGCACAAGATACCTCATCTCAGTTGCCCGCACCTGAATTATTTGTTGCAATCTGTCTCTAGACGTTTCTCAACAGGCAGGCGCATCTTTGATTATTCCGATTGGTCTATGGGAATCGCCTATGCATATGCATGGGCTGAACGAATTCGTGCCACAGATTCAGTGAACAAGTGTAGAGCTAGTGTAGAATAAAGCAGAACAGGATCGCGGAAGGTTGCGCGGAAGGAGGCTGGCGCTGTAAGAATTTTCAAGCGAGTACTTGGTGAAGCAAGCCAAGCATAGATAAACTACACTCTCCTTTGTTTATGAAGCCAAGCGTCCGACTTCCACATCAACTGCCATGCATGAGAGCTCTCTGGTTAAATCAGTTCAATCTTCCCGCCATTCAACTTTTTTTTTATTTCGTTGTCTCAGTTGTGTCAAGATTGGTCTGAAGGGTCTCGATTTGAGAAATGATATATAGGTATTTGGTCATACTTTCTTTCTTTTTGATTGTTCAGGTCGCTTAATCCTAGTTCCTATAAGTAATCTTCGTAATTGTCCATATTGTCATCATCCTCTCCGTTGTACGCAGTGAGAGTCTGACAAGTTGGTGGAATTTCGTCGTTTTTGTCGTCGCTCTCGATGATGACCTTCCCGGTGCATTGTCACTTGATTCGCCATCACACAGAGTTTGCAGACTATAGAGTAGGCATTGATGAAATAAACCTCTGGTGCGCTCACTCCTCATTTGTTTCGTCAGACCTGGTTCTTGATATAAACAATTGAATTTCAGACGATGACGTGGGGTTCACATATCGAATGTTAGATGGCGTGATTCTTAGAACTTGAACTTATGATCAACATCAGTTCTACCAACCTTGATGAGGCTAAATCGCAAAATGTATTCCCTATCTTCATTGGTCACAATTCGGTCACAATAGTCACATCAGCTCTTTGGCATTATTCGGATTATTCGGATCTTTGAAGAGCGGGCCAATGATATTATTGAGGTCTTCGTTTTTTAGAACGAGCTGAAAGAACTTGGTTCGTTCAACTGAAATATTCACATTTAAATATTCCTTGGTTGTTCTAAAGAATGTATGTGTACTAAAAATATTCATAAATATTCTAGGAACATCTAGTGCTCTCTAGAAATACCAGTTAAAGTAACGTACATGGCGATTTCTCCACATTGTAGCTGGTAAACTGATTTTAATCATCAAACTGCCAAAGTAATAAATTCGATAGATTAAAGGAAATCGGTGGGGCAGCTAGGAATCCAGGGAAGTAAATTCAAGATTGATTAATGAAAACATCCTGTAACTCTTTTGATGGCCAACGTCACCAATTGTTACTGAGAACTGGGAAGTTTCTAGACGAATACAAATTTACTGTACAAATATCAATTTTTTATTCTGAAAACGGGAGCAGATTCATTCCAGAAACGTTCAAAGCTAAGTGAAAATTTGATAGTTTTTCTATATACCTTTATTCCTCTCCTCCAAACCTTTTTCAATACAAATTGTCACTAACAAGCAAGTGCATTTTCCTTTCAGGCTGTCTGATAGGAAAATCCTTTACACGCAGTGACATATATTGGAGCAAATTATCTGATTTGCCCTTACTACACGTATATTGAAATAATATTCCCAAACAGCACCAGATATTCCATGAATCTCCCTATCATATTCCTTTTGGAATATTGGAATATTCTGGAAATAATCTGGAATATTCCGGAATATCTGTGGATTATTCTCTAAATATGCGAATGGGAATTCCTCAGATATTCATAGAATATATCCAAAAGAATATTCCATATTGAATATTCCTGGAATTTTCCAATAAACATATTCTAAAATAAAAAAAGTGACCCTAGTAGGGATCGATCTCGTGACCTCAAGACTATCAGACCAAAACGCCTTGACCACTAGGCCAGTAATTGAATTGAATGATGTTATACATATGAATTTCTTGTGAGAGCGTTGTTCGAAATCGGATCATAAACTCTTTTTGTTTCAAAATCCCCTCACATCTAATTTTGATGTTCGATACTCACAACTCTGAAATAATGATGGGTATTTATGTGTTGAGAAACATAGGAATATTCATGGAATATTTCATGAATATACACCACAGAATATTCAGTTGAGAATATTTCATGAATATACCGCACAGAATATTCAGTTGAGAATATTCCATGAATATACCCCACAGAACATTCAGTTGGGAATATTTCATGAATATACAAGAGAGAATATTCATTTGGGAATATTCCTGGAAAATTCATACCTGAATATTCCCTGAACATCACTTTGGAATATTCCTTCTAGATGTTCCAGGGGCATGTATATATTCTAGGAATAATCGATGAATATTCGGAATATAATCCTCCTTTTTAGCATATTTAGAGAATATTCTAGGAATATCCAGTGCTGTCTGGGTTTATATTTTAATTTTATAGAGTCGAGGAGATAATATCCCAAAAAATCTGGAATGATAAAAAATGTGATATTGATTCAATATAAATTGATGTATGTGATGACGTTTTTATTTCGAAATAGTACGTCACTTCTTCGTTGTCTACCAGCAGCTTAGCAACTAACAGATTGTCAGCCATTTCTTGATAATAAATCGAGACTTTCTTTATAATTATAACTCACGTAATTCATGAAAATTTCAATTACCGAATTTGACCTATTTGACTGACCACCCCCTGCGTTAAAATTCGGGGCCGCGCTGGGCAGATAAAACGATTTAAACTTTGCCACACGGTATCTTTTCAGAGTAGGAATCGGTCATGTTTCGATGACAAACTTATTTTTTCATTTTAGACTACAATGTTTACGTTTACTCCGATTGAGTGTTATGTCAATTGGAATTCTGTCAAACTATCAAGTGTGATACATCGATAGCACTTCACAAATCAACAGAGGAATGTATAGGGGGTTATTTGAAAAATTGAAGTTGGAGTGGTTTTTGAGAAGTAGTTAGACGGAACTTGACTTTGATACAATGGCTTAAAAGTCATATGGGTTTGACAAAAGTGTTTTTTTTCGTCCAAGCAGCATAACTAAGATATTGGCTGTATGGAAAGATCTGGGACATCTGGTATATATTGTTATAATGAAGTTTACAATAAGTAGGTATATCATTTTATTCACAATATTCACATTGATTCTTTGGCAGGGCATATTATGCATGAACATAATATATTATAATTATTTAAATACTTCAATACATTATCATCCTTAAAATAGCACCAGTACAGCTTTCTATTGTCTATGTCTTTTTTTGAACTAGTC